GCGGGGCGGTGGCTGGGGGCGGCCGCCGCCCTCCTGCGCCCCGCGCGTTTCTCCGCTCCTTCGGCGTTACCGGCCCGTTACTCCTGTGCCCGGTTCGCGTTGGAGCGGCGGCTCCAGGGGCGAGGCTGCCCCGGGGGAGCTCCGTGCGCCCCGCACCGGCACTGGGTGTGGCGGCAGCGCTCAGGGACAGGGAACCGGTCGCAAACTTCGTCAAACTTCCCCAAATACTCTTTTCTTCTCCTCGGTGAGGTACACAGCGGCTCAGCCGGGTTAGCGATGATACCGTACATTCACTTTTCGTCCCAGAGCGGCCGGCCGGCCTCCCCGGTGCTCGCTCCGCGGCGGCGAGCCTGGCGTGACTCCCGCCGGGCAGCGGAGCCCTCGGCCGGGGGCAGCGGCCCCTTCGCGGCTCCCCAGGGCGGGGCTGCGGCCGCGGGCGCCACTGCAGATGCGGGCGCTGGCACGGACAGAGAGAAGCCCTTGTGCAGGGAGTGCTCCGGGCAGGCAGTGTTTGCCCGAGGTTTGCCTCTGCTTTCCTCGCCCGCGGTGAGCCAGGGAGCCCTGTGCCGTTCCTTGCTGGCAGAGCCAGGCTTGGGTACGGCTCTCCCACCCTGCCCCAGCCATGAGCAGAATTGCTGAGCTCCTGCTGCTGCCTTTTGGGTTGTGAGTCAGCTTGGACACCACTTCCTCCTCCTCAAGTGAAGGAGGTAGGGCAAAGGAATGTTGCCATGTAATTTTAACTGGAAGAGAAGTGAAATGACCTCAGAATAGTCATGCAGAAGTGAGTTGTGTTCATATACACGGCAGCTTTAATTCTGTTTAATGTTAATTGTTCTTATGTTCATATTCAAATGTTGTATCTGCACAGAGGTGTGCAGACACCAACATTTAGGTCGAGAGTGAAAGAATCTTTTGGACCCTCCGTGTCCTTGAGTGGTCCATCCCTACACATTCCTTCTGTTGGTGGAGCTAGTTGTGATAAGCAGTTCTAGTGAGTATAGTTTCCACTAGCTCATGTATGGAATGGTTTGCCTTGATTTAAAAAAAAAAAAAAAAAAAGATTTTTCTGTGAAGGCTTAGAAGTGAGAATAATTTGAATTCGAGGAAATAGTTTTGTACAATATATTCCTGAAATGGAAAAATCTCCTGGGTTATTAGCAGTGTCTGTGGAAGAGAACGGTTAATGTATGTTTGTGGTAGCATGGTTTAATGGGTTTTGAAATCCTTTTCTTTCAAGCTAATTTTTTTTTCCAAGTAGTGGCTTTAAATTATCTGCTAAACCTTATCAGGGATGTGGGGAGATAAAGCCCAGCTCATTTGTACTTGTGGTTAGTACTGTATATAAATGAATGATTTTGAGTCCTTATTTCATTTACAGCAGATGTTGTGGATCTTCTTTGCTCTCCCTCATCTCCTCTGTTGCCAGGCCTTGCCCTAGTTGTTGGAGACCTGACACAAATGTGGTCCAAGTGAAAGAGTTTCCATTCTCTCATTCCAGGGATGCCGTTTCCTTGGCTCAAATGTCTGGGAACACCCTTTGCTCAATCTCTGTCTACAAAAGGATAATAGGTGCTTCTTAAAATGCTAACTCTGCTTATTGAGCAATGTAGTTGTTTGTGTATACCTGAGGCTTTTTTCCATGGATCATGTAGGATTTTTCTGTGTAATGTATGTGAGCTGCCCCTGGGAATAGAGATACGGGGCTGCTTTTAGACACACGCTCTTCTGTCACCAGACAGGTACAGGGTAAGGTACTGAATATAGACAAGGCCCAATATAATAGCAGATTTTCAAACCAGTGATTACTGTGGGGGTCGAGGTCAGAACAGGTGCTATCTCTTTTAGTAGAATAACATTATGATTCAGGATTATGTAATGTGGATTTAGGAGGAAAACTGGTTGTAGAAACTTGCCTTAAGGTGTTGAAGTGTTAGTTTACAGCTGGAAGGTACAAGTTGATTCTTTTCCAGTGGAAGGAAGAACAGGTTAGTGCAAGTATTTTCTATTTACGTGTTCAAACTCACCCATTACTTGTCAAAACTACATCAGATAAAATCAGTCCATCAGAAAACAGTGAGAGTCTGTTCTCAAACATGAGTGCCTTACAAAGCAGGGTGTGACAAGAGATGCGTTTGTTCTCCGAGTAAAGATCTTTCTCTGCAAAGATTCTTGCAAAAACTCCCATCTTTTTTTCTTTTGTCAGCTTGCTGCTGATGGGCGGTCTGTTGCTACAGCATTGTTGTGTGCTGATGATA